ACCGCCGCTTTTGTCACCTCCGAAGTTGAAACTTTTTTCACTGGGGGTCAAAAACTGGGAGGGAATTGCGAACTGTTCGTTCCTGAAGCTGTCACTGCTCATCAGCGGCTCCAGCGCCTGCACCAGCAAAAAAAAAAAACACATGCGACACATGATCAAATTTCTCCGTGTCATCCAGATTTTAACCATTTCACTGCTCGAAATAACAGCGAAAAATCGGTGTGACCGGCATTCTAGTGGCCAGCCGCCCTGTCATAAATGAATTATTTCTTTGTTTTTTTTTAGTGTAGTGCCGGTTTTTTGTGTTAAAAACGTCGACAAGGTATTTTTCCACGTTCTTGCCGGCCAATGAAATGCTGTTAAGACGGTTTAGCCCGAATCCAGTTGATAATAAAAACTAATGTATGCTAACTGAAAAATGACAAGTTTCAAAATGCAAAAAAAAAAAAAACGAACATGTGTTTTGTCCTTCCAACTAAATTTAGACGTATCAGAGTACAAGAATTTTAGATCATTGAAAAACGTGGAGGGTAGGGTTGGATTAAAATATAATGCCAGGCGTTAAAAACTGAGAAGACATGACTCATATCAATGAATAAAACTCAGATTAGACGTGACTCAAATCAGTGAATTAAACTCTGAGTAGACATGACTCACATCACTGAATTAAACTCAGAAGACTTAACTCATATCAATGAATTAAACTCAGAGTAGACTTGACTCATATCAGTGAATGAAACTCTGAGTTGACATGACTTACATCAATGAATGTCTTGCCCATGTTCTTGAAGGGAGACATGACAGTTCCGAAGAGGGAGGGAGCTGAGGTTGCTTGTTGCTGAGCGAGGGCGGCCATTTGTTGCTGCTGGTATTGAAGAAGATTCAATTGCTGTTGTTGATGTTGCTGTAAATCTTGATGCTGCAGCAGTCGGAAAAGAGAAATAGTGACTGGTGGTTTGAAAAAATTTTTATTTGAGCAGGACTCGGGACCACAAAAATGTGATAATGAGTCCCAAAATACCGTTTATTCCCGAAAATAATATCGGTTTTACTGCTTCCAACGCATGTTGGGAATGATGGAGCTCCTACACATACTAAAGTTCTATCAAATTTAAGTTTAAGCAAAACATTGACGCAATGAACAGATAAATTTGCTAATTTTCAATCTATTTTCCAATTATTTTGTTTTTATTGCATTGTATTTGGAATTGAAAACTTCTAGGGACATTTTACGAACTGCCGGCATCGATCGTGTCAGTTGAAGAATTAAAGTTTATCAAAAAGTGTAAAAATTAGACTTACTAAGGTTTAATAGTTTGTATAGTTTTGTTTAGTAGTTCATCGTTTGTTTTGTATCATGAAATGGAATGATGAGTTTCTCAAAATCATCATTCCATGTTCGATAGTTGAAAAAATGTTTGCAAAAGATCAATACAAACTCAATGAACACAACAATCGTGTTCAATGAGCTGAAAAAGTTAACGAAAGCTTAAGAACTTTTCAAATTCGCATAAACAGTGAAATTCAACGTGTAACGAAATTATGTAAACGTCTTATGATATAATGTCACGAAAAGTTCAAGAATCGGCGACAGGCCACATTAGGCCTACTCTTTATCGCCGACATCACTATGTAGAAAATGTGTTATTGGACGTAACTTATGGATCTGGTAGTGGGCTCAGCCCGGTATTAAGAGTGGGCTTAGCCCGGTTTAAAAAAACGACCCTTTATGGTAGTTTTTAGACCCGGTTTCATACCGAAACGACCATAAGGGACTACCATAAGGGACCATATGGCCCCGAATGGTTCCAAACCAGATACCAGAATACCAGAAGTGGGCTCAAACCCAGAAAACCTAGAAAAGTCGAGCCCACTCGGAAAAAACCTAGAAAAACCTAGAAAAAACCTAGAATCTGGTTTTCTCCGTAATAAAGTTAAAAAACGAAAACCTCAAAGTTTATAGTTGTACTAGAGAAAAATTAAAGTCAACAAGAAAGAAATGTCTTCTACAGAGAATTACAGCGGAAAAATGGTTGGGTCATTTCGTCCAAATAGTGACACATGACGTGCATGTTGCTCTGATACGTCCTTTTTCCTGGTCAAAATGTGTCAAGATGACTCACATAGGGCAAAAATTGCATCGCTATTTGGACAAAAGCTCACTAATTTCTCTGAGTTTGGGGTAAACCTAACAAGGAATGTGACAAGGTTCTAATCGCTCACCTTATTCTGAATGCCGTTAGTGATGCTGTTAGTGACGCTGTTCTGTTGTTGCTGTTTCTTCTGTTGCTCTTGTAGCTGAAGCTGAAGTTTCTGATGCTGATGGCGAGCTAAAGCTGCTGCCAGGCTGTTAGAATCCATAGCCTGAAAACAGAACCTCGTCCATCGCAGGCCTTGTTTTAGCTTACACTTAAAAATTAGACAATATTATTATGTCCTTATGTTATTGCTCTATGACCTTATATGTATATTAAAATAAGTCCTTATTGTCCTCGCAATAAGTTCTTATATTATTGTTTTTTGTTATTGCTGTAACTCAAACACTTTATCACTGCGTAACTGGGACGGATGGTTCGAAGATACATACATACGCTCAGAGAAATAAGGATACATTGTCTAATTATTGAAACATTTTTTGTCCTCCTGATCCAATTCTTAAACATTTTGGCCGGCAAAATTGCGGGTCAATATCCCTGCTGAAAGTGTGTCAGTATTTGGATAATATAGCCCACTAATTTTTTTTGTTGCGCACTAAAGTTACAAGATATGGAAAGGCGTCAACTGAAGATACGTTTATTTTTACGTTGCATCCCTAGAAGAATTTTTATTTCAAAAATAAACTATTCAAAACTATACAATGTCTACCTAGTGCGTATATTTTGTTTGAATTAACTAGCTTTTTTCATTCACTGACAACGTCGAACAATTTATTTTCACCCTATATATTCGATAATTGAACTAAAATTCAGGTTATGATTGCCTTGAAGTAATTCATACACTGAGAAAAATAGCAATACTTTGCCTAAATATTGATGCGCTTCCTACGTGTGGGTCATCCTGACCCAATTTGGCCAGGTAAAAAAGCGTATCAGTGCTTCGCACTAAAGTGTGTTCTATTTGTTCTACATGACTTCTACATTTGTCTGAGTGTCGTATCAATTACCTGCAACTATAAATATTATCTTACAATTAAACATAACATAATAATGAACATAACACAGAATATTATCTTACCTTTTTGATGAACAAAAACAAATTAAATGTTTTTGTTCTTTAAATGTTCTTACCATTAAATGCATAGGAACATTAAGATTTTCGGAACGAATAGATTTTATGACTGACGCCACTGCCTGACGTTGCTATGCCTGATATTTTACACTTAAAGAAATTAACGGAATTTTGTCGAAATAATTATGTAGTTTTTTTCCATTGTCTGGGTCATCTTGACCCAGTTTGACCCTGAAAAAGTAAGTATTGTCGGAAGTATTGGTACAAAGTAAGTAATCAATACTTGGACAGTATGACCCATACATTTTGCCGAGTGTAACCCATACCGGCCAAATAATCAAGTCGAATCCATTATATATTAAAAAGCGTGTCGTCCTGTTTCTTAAAACAGTTCGGATGAATCCATTATGGCCGCTGAGCTACAACTGTAGCTTACACGTGAAATATGTTAGCTTTAACCCATCGTGATGGGTTGAGGTTAAGTTTATATGTAGTTTAACACAAAACTTAAAGAGAAATGAGTGAGATTGTTTAAATAGCGATGCATTTTTGGCCTTTTAGGCGGGTAACGCAGACCCTGTTTGACATGACAATTAAGGCATATCAGGGCTTCGCGCTGACAGTATGCATAGCTCGCTACTGCAATGGCCACTCGAACTGTTTTCAAATTCTTTCCAAATTTAATATTTCCTTACGCGGCACTTCATTGTCCACATTTTACCTGCAGTATGCATTGCGGCACTAGAAATTTAAAAGCAAATAAAGTTCCACAAAAATTCCTCGTACATTTATAGAAAACATTTCACTGTCCAGCTCAATTGTCCAATCGAAGATTCTATAATAAAGATACAATAAAGTGTTAGTACAGTCAAAATTAAAAACACAAAAGACTGTTCAATAAAAAAAAAATTTCGGAGTTGAACACCGAAACGCTTTGTAAAAAAAAATGTTTAATTTGTGTGCAATTTTCTTTGCTTTCAAATTTTCAGTGAATTCACGATTCAAGCAATCAAGTGACATTGAACGTTGAAGCATTTTCAATCTGATGGAAATCGTATGAATTTAAAAATTTTGTAATTATTTTAATTGGAAAAAATGCTAATGAAGCAGAACGTTCATATATACGATCAAGTCATCAGATACGATGACTATACGATCAAGGTACTATTGGTGAGCAGTCTAATCATGATTAAAGATTATATAAAATGATGAATTCAGGCATTAGGTAAATAAATTATTAAGTAATGAAGAGTGGTGTCAATAAAATATTTCAAATAATTCTTACTTCAGTCTTTCACATTTTAAATTCAGCCGTAAAATAATTTCATCACAATAACCGCTATTGTCTCGTACCTCATTACTAGTAAATCTTACCAATATTTTTCAAGAGAAGCATAGAATTATGAATATTATAGTGCAAAGTTAGTGCATAATCTTGTCGAGAAGTGAAGCCTATTTTTTTCAATTTCGGCTTGGCGATAAAATTTAATCAGCGTTTAAATAAAATTAAAGCTACAACGTGCTTCAAGACGAAGGAAACACTCAAAGAAATAAGCCAGACTTTGTCCAAGTAGCCATGCACTTTTTGCTCCTGGGTGAGTCATCCTTACCCAGCATATATGGTACTGCAACAGCGACGTATCAGTGCTACGAGCAGCAAGTGTGTCACTATTAGGACCATAAATATGACCTACTAGTTTTTCCGATTGCAATGTTTACATTCAAAGTGAGTGCAATTGATATTAAAGATGAGCAGGGAAAAATACAGCATAGATATTCAGCCCATATATTGAATGCAATTTTCAGGATACAACCCGTGACTAATAGTGCAAAGTGATACATTATATATATTTGTATGTACTGGAAGAATAGGCAACTTAGTATGTATAATATGGTTTCCGTACGGTGCAAGGAAAGTACGAGTACTTAATGTGCTTCAAAAGAGCTTAGAATATTGAAGTGTCTCAAAAAAGCTTAAGATATGACAACCAAGGCACCAAACCATATAAGAATATGGCTTTGTTTGTAACGTAAGAGGAAATAGCTAATACTTTGAGTGTAAAGAATATCTTCATTTGTTGTTTGTTATTTAATCAACCATTCAGATCAACTCAAGAAAGATAATCCGAATAATCGTGATGATCTTCAGATCATCAGTAGTAATGAATTCATCTAATCAACAAGTTAGAATAATAAAATCTTTATAAACGATAAACAAAAATTCAACAAGTAAAAATTCAACTTATAAAAGGACGAATTAACATTGAACATATTGTGCTGTTGAACAGACATGTAATCAGGAGACCCATTCAAGTTGTGAATAAAATATTTATAAGGAGAATAAATATTCTTAAAATCTCAATCACTATAGGATCTTCCTGAGAATTAATTATATTCACAAATGTAATAAAATGATTGTAGCTTTTAATTGCAGATATAATAATGCTTTTAGTGCATTATAGAAACAATCTAAAACGTTTAAGTACCGAATGAAAATATAAATTAATATTAAATTGATCTCTCGGTGCAGAGCTTCCTATATACTTCTTCAGAAATTCAGTAATTTAAAATTACAGTTCAGAAGCCTAAAAATTTAGGTTAGTTTAGTAAATAAATTTGTTCATATTCAAATTCAAATGATAGTTGCGATTGTTGAACCTCTAAATGCTCCTGCATTAAATTAACGTAATAAAATTAATCGGAAATTCTGGAAATTCTGCTCGTAGGACAATGCTGACGCAATGGCCTGATAACATCCCAAAAAAGTGATCAAATTGTAAAAGTTACAATAGAAACTAATATTCTAAAATAAAAATTTTAATCGTGCAGATTTTTAAAAAGGAAATCATAGCAAATGAGAATAAAATAAAAGGCCAGAAGACGTGCTTAAGAGAAGCCAACAGAATTTACAGCTCCGTGATTTACAGACGCCTTTTTTAACAACGCGCATGAGATGAAATTATCGTGTGACTTTTTTTGTGCTTGTTTTGCTTTGGTGCAATGGCGACGGTATTCGTAGACATTCAATAGGAGCGATCATGTCGGATTTCGACTATCTACAGGTCGTGTATATTTAAAAGTGGCCCATATTAGAACGATTTAAACTTAGTGGTGATTAGAAAGATTAAACTTCTAACTGGTCCTAGATTCAGATTCTCTCGGAGACTCCTCTCTTATGAATACGGCGCTATCGCCAGGCTTTGAGATTTCTGACAGAACAGAATCGTCAATGACGGAACCTCGGCTTTCGACTTTGAAATGCCTGTCGAAATCGAAATGTTCAATGCTGTCGTCAACGATTCTTCCTCCACCAATAAATCCTCCGTTGGCCCCGGCACCACCAAACGAGACTTGACTAGTGGTGATACTGGAGGGTGATAACTTGGTTATGTGAGAGTTATCACCCTTTGAACTCAGACTTGCACCACCACTAAAAGTTGAAACACCACTGTCACCGTACGATGTGCTAGACCCGAAACTTGTTACACTTCCAGAGGATAACCCTCCAGAAGAGTATACTGTGTGTCCACCTGAATGTCCCAATGATGATGAATGATGATCATTGTCGAGAGTGGTGATGGCACCAGCGAGTTCATGGTTGGGAATTGAGTCGCCATAGGAGCCTTTGAACCCTCCGACTTGTCCATAGCTATCAAGTCCGCCAATACTTAAGCCGCCTCCATAGCCCCCTAAGCCAACGCCAACACTTTGACCATAACCCTGATTGTAACCAGCAACTGGACTCAACAGCAAGTAAGTTGGTCCAATATCATAGTCTCCACCTTTGGCTTTGCCTACTCCTTTACCACCGTATTCTCCTTTTCCACCACCATATCCACCTTTATCAAATGAACCCTTTTCAAGTCCACCTCCCTTGTCGTGGCCTTTGTCTCCCCAGCTGAATCCTTTCATCCCTTTATCCCAGAAGTCCCAAAATGCTCCCTTTTCTTTCGTCCCCTTGCTACCCTTTCCATCATCGTAGTAGTAATCGTCATAATAATCATAGTCTTCGTAACTATCGTAATCATAACCACCTGTCGCACCTACGGGTACAAGAACCATTTGTTGCTGAGGTTGAACCACTTGCTGATGGACTGGCTGACTGATTACTTGAACTGGCTGGATAGGAGCTGGTTGAGCAATGACTTGAATTGGCCTGGCGATGGGTGCGGGTCTCTGAATGACCTGCACATGACGCACTGGCTGTGGCACCACCTGTATTGGCTGAGGTTGAGCAATAATTGGCTGAGGCTGAGCTATAATTGGGGCTGGAGAAATAGGTGCATGGCCGTAAGACTGTCCCACAGGAACCAAAATGGTTGCTCCACCGCCATAGCCCTTTCCTTTCCCTCCACCCTTACCACCTCCTTTCCCGCCTCCGAAACCTCCTTTTCCTCTACCAAAGCTACCCTTACCACCGCCAACGCCTCCTTTTCCCCCACCACCCTTTGAAGCCCTGTACGATCCTTTACCCCCTTTGCCTCCTTTCTTGCCTCTCCCTCCACCATAGTCGTCAATGACGTACAATACCTGGCCACCTCCATATGAATGAGATAGACCAGCACCTAAGCCTCCATAAGGTTGTACACCAATAGTAGCGTCAGGAATAGCACCATATGAAGCCAACTGAGGCTGCACTCCATACGACTGTTGAACTCCATACGACGGTTGGACTCCATACGACGGTTGGACTCCATACGACGGCTGGTATGACACTCCACTTGGTTGTATGAGAGCCAGCTGGCCTCCTCCATATCCAGCGTCATAACCACCGCCCTTCTTACCACCTATTGAGCGAGTTTGCTTAGAACTTCTCTTATGAAGTCGAGGCGGGCTATAAGATGTAGGCTGTGCAAACGAAGGCTCGTTTGTGATCTTTTGCTTCTTTTCAACCTTGAAGATTACTTTCGGGGGATAAGATTTCTTTTTCTCGCTATCGATGGTAGAATCAGCCTTCTTTTCGGAGGTCTTAGATTTGCTAAGAGTTTCTTCTTCTTCATCGATATTTTTTTGATGATTGTGTGAATCAGCAATGTTTTCGCCGAATGCCTGGGCATTTTCTTGCTGGTGAATAAAATCTTGAAGGTTCCTGTGCAATTTCAGTTCTGTTGTCGGTGCTCTGACGAACTGAGTAGAAGTTTGTGGCTTATTCGAAGAAATAGTCGCGTATATAGGCTCTCCATTTTGAGTGAAAGCATATGGTTCATCTCTCTGGGGAGAGGGGTTACGCACCGTATATCCAGCATTGACCTGTCTGAACGAAGAAGGATTATCATTACTATAAACATTTGTCCTGAACACTGCAGCTCCTTCGAATGGTTTTTGAACGAAATCCTCTAACACTGACGATGTTGGTTGGTCAGTTGGATCCTCAGTTTGGTTTGGAACATCGCTGCCTTGATCAGAAGTTTCAAGCGCTGCAAACTGTGCATACTCGTTTGGTGACGCGACGAAACCAAGAGAGTGAAGTTCACTGAAAGAAATGTCGTGGAAGCTCTGCTTGTAGCTCGGTCGTACTGAAAGAATGGACCACGGCTCTTCCCCAGACAAGGCTCGATCTGAACGCCGCAACCCGCTTACCTGGAAATGAAATTTTAATTATTACATGTGCAAATAATAATAATTACTAGGAAGAATTTATAATTGAAACTAATTAATTCCGCTGGTGAAAATTTATATCTATATATGAAATTTCTAAAATTTTAATTACTCGGAAGTTTATTGCTAAATCGCGTTATTATTAATGAATTATAGAGTATTTTGTGCGCACACTAATTTTAAATATTGCTGAATACTGAATTTGCCGCAACGTGCGACCGATAATGCATCGAATTAAAGTTCATTATTTGCTGCTTGAATTTATCTCTTCTTGGACGTTCTTTGGGAGAATAATCGGAGAGGCTCAAATTAAATGTAAATTCCTTGCACAATTAGTTCTGAATATCATGTCCTCTTATTAATTTTTGAATCATTTAGCTATTGTGACTTATGTTAACCTGGCTTCATTTCGAGCTTAACGCTTTTAAATAAATTTAATTTCCATCGAATTGTAGTCAATATCTAACAAGTATCACAGATACTTCAGGCAAGATATTTAACAAGTTTTTCCAGGGATATTCTGAAAAAATTCTTATTTAAAGTGCAAATCCCACGTAGCAGAAAAATAAACTGTATACAACAAATTTTTTTGTTGGAGAATAAAAATTTTCTGCCTCATGAACCAGCTTGTGCAATGTTAGTGAACGATATTATATTATAAACTCAATGAAGCTAAATGACAGAACGAACAAGTTTTCAAACTCATTTAAATGTTGAAACAGTAATTGGCGAATAAGAATCCTACTGGTGAAACCAATATGTACAATGGTTGATGGTAGCAATAACTTAATGAAAACTCAGAATTTTTTTCTGGAATGATGAAGTAAACAGATGACATTTAATATTTAATGAGGATTATTTGTCATGAAATACGTAGTAAACAGATGCCATGGGACTGTGTAAAAATATTGGTAGTGTCGAAATGAAAGTCCAAGAAATTTATCTTAAGTGACATAAATTTTCCCATAGTTAATCTCCGCGTGATGAGTGGTAACTGGTAAGGCTTAATTATAGTAGTTCTGGATACCATTAACTGAGACCATAAACAATCAATCGTAAGGGTGTATCCGGAGTGTGAAACACTCGGAAAAATGAATAGCTCTCATTGTCTAAATAGTGATATACATTATGGACTTGACAATGATAAGCCCGTTTGCCTGAGCCAAAACGGTGCACGGTGACCCACACAAACGCAAAAGGTGCATCACTATTTAGACAAAGTTTCACTCATTTCTCTGAGTTTCATGATTCAATGTAGCGTTATTAACATGTGCACTGGGTAGCTAAAATGGTTATCGCAAACCTGATTAGGTTGTTGTAGATTATACATCGATGCCACGTCACCAGAGGTCGCTGCGAAAGCTGTGGCTGGAATGTTCTTGAGTAGACTGGACGAAATAGCACTGTTTTGTAACGAGTTGAGAGAGCCGTATGTACCCAGAGCACCTTGTGCAGCATTAGAATTAGAAATTTGATTAGTTGTGAAAAGCGCCGAATTGTAACTGGCATTATTTTTATTAGTCACCTGGTTCTTGTTATATACACTATTAACATTATTTGAAGCGGTCATCATTTGATCAGGCAAGCCACTACGATCAGGGTCATAGAAACTCTTGTAATAAAAGATTGGGTAGTGGTTTTTCTTCGTTGTAATCTTGTTGAAATATTTTTTCGTTGGTTTGGTCTTCACGTCGGTAGCGGAAGTCGTCGTAGGATCTGACGTTGGGGCGTTGGGCCCGACGGTTGTAGCTCCTGACACCGCAACTTTGCTGTAGTCCTTCACGAAATTCGAAAAGGTCGCATTTTAATTCTAATATCCGCGAAGAGTATACCCGTTAAGAAAGTATTCCTAAACAAAATCGTCCACTGTTACTTGGGTGTATCAATACTACATTTTATTTCATTAATTTTATTCTGATGATGGACGACCAAAATGCAACATTCCCACTTTCAAATAAACTCTTTTTAAGAGAACAAAAATCGTAAAAATTCATCCAATGCGTCTCTGGGGTGTCGAATGTTGAATTTTGTTTGTATGGCTGGATGACAGAAACAGGCTATTATCGCGTTCAAAATAAATTGGTATAGCGTTCGTAATTAATCGAAAGTTCATGTGGCACTTTAATGACAGAGATAGAAGACGACAGTTAAGCAAGAATATAAGAATAGGTAAGTCAAGTACCATCGAAAAACTAGGTTACTTATTGCCAGTTTGTTCAGATGAAAATCACTTAAAGTTAATCACATTTCTTCACTCATTACACATTTCAATTTCTACCTTTAACTAGCAGTCCACGAACTATTGTTCAACCTTTCAAAAAATTATCACATCATGGCAATTTAAAGTTCAATTTTGAAAGTGAAAACCAAATTCGATGAATAACAATTGACAGAAGCGCAAAATGTGTGGTTATCTATTATTTTTAAAGACGCCGGCAAGACGCCGCGAAAGTTGGAGCTGTGTAGGAGATCTTGAGGATCTTCTGGTGAGTTATAACATGTCGAGCTAATCCATTAGCCTCATTTCGTTCATTCATTCATTAGTCTTCATGCTGATCTCCGAAATATTTTCAATTAAGTTGTGAAGAATTTACATGGCATTTAAAAGTTTTCATATTCTTAGCTTATTTAGTTCGTTTCGCAATCGAAGACAGTAAGTATAAAAAGAAATCAAGAGAGTCTTTTAGAACACTGCAATCAAAGAACGCTCGCTGATGGCATTCCAGAATATCAGAGAAATATTTTGTCAAGAATTGGCATCTAATCATTCTAAGCAAAGAAATAATTATTGTGAGTTATCATAACCTAACAGATTAATAACTTCGTTGTTAGCAGATAGTGCTTTAATGGCGCCGAGCAAAACCTTGTTTGTAGTGATAAAAAATGTCTCTGTTATCAATGCGTTCACTCAATCGCGACGCAAATGATCTTTGAGGGTTAATTTTGTAGGGACTGAACGATTGTGGGAAGGAATTCAAGGAGTACCGAGAATGATGGTTATGAGGTTGTTTGGTGACGTCAATTCGTGGCGACCAGTGGCCGAAGAACTGAACTGGAGGAGGAGTACGGAAATTTCGAACTGGAATGGCCGGATTGTGACTGAAGTCAGGGAACTTGTTCTCAAGCTTCTGTGACTTATGTCGGTAAGAGCGGCCATGATTTTTCTCATCTTGGATGCTGTTGACACTATCAAGAGCATAATTTCTTGTTGGAAATCTTGGGTACCCAGTTTCTGAATCTGCATTCTTCTCACGATCGTGGGTGTCAAAAAAGATACTTCGACTTTTTTTAGGCTCGTCATTTTCGTCTTTTATGTCATTTCTGTTGTAGATGAGCTTGGCCAAGTTGCTCAAGGAAGAGATGGCGGTCTGTGTAAAGGTTGACGTTCTCGGCGAAGACGTTGGCTCGAACTTGAGGCCGTGTGAGACCACGTGACTCAGGTTTTCGGCGTTCAAGTCGCTGTCGGTGACTAAAACATTGTTGATGATTCTGCGGTGTCGGATAAATAGTGAGTTTGAGGACCAAACTTTTTTAAAGTGACTACTGTATATGCGTGCACTTAGTAAAAGATAACAAATCTGTTACAAAAATGTTGAATTGGTATTGGTCAAGAGTTGGGACCTATTTTCAAGAATCAGGATCGTAAGAGATAAAAAACTCACATTAATCAAAGAACAAGCTAATAATTCTATGGATGTTGAACTGTTTTGTAGGAATTATTTAGTTTGTAATAATACGGTTAGGTTCCTGTTTGCTATATAGCCTTTGATGAGCTAATGTTCCACGGCCATGGGCTCTCGATGTCATTGGGCTTCATGACTCGGTTTCGCGTTCAGTTAATAGTCATATCAATATCTTTTTGTCCGGTAATAACCTTAAATTAAAACTTTCCTTCGGTGAAAAACAAACACTTAAAATTAATTAAATGTAAACAAATACAGCATTAATTAAATGTGAACGATCTTGCTGACGACGGTAACTGAGGAAAATGGGAGAGTAAAACCCGTTCTAACGCTTTAAAATTTCTGAGCATAGTCATATTTCCTCTATAGCGCTCTCTATATGCAAGGTCTGTGGAAATAATGCTTGCATGATTGGTCGATTATTTATTGTTTTTCATGACGTTCTACTTCGAACATTTTTCCGGTATTGGCGTGAGAGTTTCTTGATGCCGATTAACTATGAAACATACTCTATTCTTGTCTCTAATATAATCGTTTTCGGGCTTGAGAAATGCAAAAAAAATAGCATCTCGTCTTCAGATTTTCATAAGGTGCAACCCGAAAATCTTGTGTAATGAAATAGGCTTACATTAAATTTAATTTACCACAACTTCAATAAAAATTGCCTGGTTTATCGATTATTGTGAGATATTTTCTCGTATTGTCCAGTTGACATCAAAATTTATAGACAATTTGCTTATTTTAGAAAATGACAATGAACAATTTAGTTCTGAACACAGATGTTATTGAACTAAAATCAGAAGAATTTTTTCTGCTGTTGGTGAAATGTAATTTGAAAACAGTATAATATACAGTCGATTGACGTCATCGGCCATAGAAAAGGCTACAGCTAGTAGGCGGATTGCATTAGAGATATTTATATTACCCGAGTAGATATTCAATTAATTAATTAATTCTATGCTCAGTGAGGGGAGAGAAACTCTGTTTTTGTACCATTCACAAGTGGATCTCAAACATCTCGATCTCGCAACATGTTCAATTCTAGCTTAGTATGCATCGTAGGAAGTCAAATTTTAATTTTATTGCGTTATGCAGTTATTGTTTCTGATTTGCATGTTATCGTGTGTTCAAATATCGTGTCTTTAAATATTATACAACTTGAAATAGTAACTGTAATCAATACTATAACTTACTTAATCGAATTATTTAATAGATCGAATATTCCACGAAAAACTGTTAACCGCCTTAATTTACGAAAATTAGCCGACGCTCAACCGAGCCGTGAAGCCTCGTGCTTGTTCAAGAGCCCTGAGTTATTGCTTGTGAATTGCAAAAGATGTCAAATATTTTGTATATTATATAGTACTATATTAAGTATAAATGGAATTACTAATTTTTTCACATAATACAGTAGAAATTGCAGAAATGTGAAATATTTTCAGATTACGTTGAATAACTTCATTCCTGATGAAAGGATTGCAGTCATTATTCAAGGCTTGAAGTTAATGAAAAGACAGATAAGCAAGCTAAGTTGATTGTTCATAGAGAATGAAGCCACACATAAACATATTCACGAACAGCGATATGTTCATAAAAAGACAAACAAGATAACATAAATATAAGAGAAATATTTATTACATCAAGATTATGAAAACACGGCATAATATACCAGCATATGTGTGAAAGTATTGAATGAAGAAAAACGTGAAGCTGAAGTGCAAGAAGCGAGTGCTTGTGGTCACTTTGGGACAAAGTCTAACACTGGAATAAATAACGTGGCTAATTCAGTGGCCGTTCATAGCATCATTGAAAAATTGTTATATTTGAAAGGTTAATTTTTAGCGAATCCCAAATTAACCACGCTCAGAGAAATGAGTGGGACTTTGTCCAAATACCGATGCATTTATTGCCTTGTGTGGGTCACCCTGACCCAGTTTGGCCCTGCAAAAGGGCTTATCAGAGCTACCTCCGCTCACTGCTCGAGCTGTGAGCAAGACAACGTATCACTATTTAGAAAACCTGCCCCATTCATTTTTCTGAGCGCACATCAGCATTAGATGGAAGTACTAGCGTAAAGTATTGGGAAGTAAAATCAAATGGAAGTACTAGCGTAAAGTATTGGGAAGTATAATCAGATGGAAGTACTAGCGTAAAGTATTGGGAAGTAAAATCAGATGGAAGTACCAGCGTAAAGTAGTGACAGTAAAGCAAGTACCTGGCGTTGCGGTACACTATGTTCTTCTCACGGGGGTCATCAGGTACCCTGACCCCGTGTATCACGGGGACCCCGTCATCCCCTACCGTGGGCCGCTCAAGTCGGGCCCTTCGCACCCCCCATTCCGGGGCTCCGACGTTCACAGACGAGGACGTCACCTAAGAAGTACATGCCATGACCTTCGATGTCATAACCTTCGTCATATAACCTTCGATATCATAACTTTCAATGTCATAACTTACGATGTCATGACCTTCGATGTCATAACCTTCGTCATATAACCTTCGATGTCGTAACCTTCAATGTCATAACTTTCGATGTCATGACCTTCGTTGCCATAACATTCGTCATATACCCTTCGATGTCACAACCTTCGGCAAATTCTAGCGGAAATGACGCAATTCAAGCGAACCCAAAGCGGGCATAATTTCAAGTAAGTGGAAACATTTTCTATAAATATATGGGAAATTTCTGTTGAATTTTCTTTTGAATTTCTATTGAATTTGTGATTAAAGCAATCAAGTGACAATTATGCAAATCACGTCGATTTCGTTGACTATAACGAGGTGGACTAACGCAACCGAACAAAACATACAAGCCCACTGCATTTTAAGCTGCAGAATAATTGAAATTTATAAAAACTCATATGTTCACTACACGTTTAAAAAATATTGCTTGTCAGGCTGAAAATTTAGCTAGAGAATCAAGAACTAATTAGTAGAAGTAACGAATCTCATTTCCTAAACAAAACGATTTCCCTTCCTTAATAAAACGACAAAATTAAACTAGGTGTTTCTTGCCCTTATATCATATCTTTATCCATTTTGCGAGAAATTAAGATGCGTGTCTGCTTGGCAGCTACCAAGAGACTACGTAGACTAGATATCTTATTCTGATCACCGATAAAGCAAGGAACAGATGCAGATGCAATTTTTCTCCCTTTAAGTTTAGAAACGCGCGACGAAAGAAGCTGAGCAGAGAAAAGGGAAATCGAATTCACTGAAGGCTCGCAGCCAAGCAGCTGTTGACGGCGTAAGGAAAAACTCTCACCTGCCACATGCAAGGCAGTACATCTGCTGTACAGTCACGTGCTCGAGGCAGCATTCAAACACTACGAGGTAGCACATATGCTGTACAGTCACGTGCTCGCGGCAGCATTCAAACACTACGAGGCAGTACATCTGCTGTACAGTCACGTGCTCGCAGCAGCATTCAAACACTACATCAAACACTACGAGGCAGTACATCTGCTGTACAGTCACGTGCTCGCGGCAGCATTCAAACACTACGAGGCAGTACATCTGCTGTACAGTCACGTGTTCGCGGCAGCATTCAAACACTACGAGGCAGTACATATGCTGTACAGTCACGTGCTCGCGGCAATTCTCATCCATTTCGGGGCAGCACTTTCGTTGTACAGTCACGCATTACAATCATTCTACAAAACGGGGCGCTCAGCCGAACATTTTTCGTCTGAAGCACTGAAGCATCTTGGAGCTGTACAAATATTCATTGCAATTGTAAGAATAAATATTTTTTGAAGACATTGATAACTAACGCGCACGATATACTAATGAAGATGAATAACGTGAACGATAGTCAGATGAAGATCTTGAAAGAGAAACGAAGTTCACGTAATCGGGAAGAAAGCGAAAGAAGTTAAGATAATAACTCACACAGTATAAACTTCATAGCAGAATCTATGAAAGTTTCCAATGAATTGCAATCTACAATCATTAGATAAATCATTGCGAGTTTCGCGCGCGGTTCGAAGCAACAGATGTCTGGAGAAAATTGATTGGAACAATAGGAAAACTGTTATAAACTTTTATTCCTAGTGCATTGATTTAATCGAAATTTAGTCCTAAAATGTAATAAAAATATTTCGATAATAATGAAGATAGCAAGGACATTATGCACTGTCAAATGATTCTGGAATCGAATACATGAATAGATGATCACTATAAACAACAGAAAATGTTCTAAAAAAGTAGTTTGAAGAGCAAACGTACCACCTAATTTATGTACATCCGAATGTTGTCTCAAGAACCGCTGCAAATATGGAAGATAAATAATGCACATGTTTATGTACAGTAAAAACCATCGCGTTGCACCCAACAAACTAGAAATCATAAAAGGATTTCATTTCATAACAATATCCTTGATTAAGCACCAGTTTGCGCGTATCCCTGAGAAATTAATGCATCTATTGAGATATAAATGTACAATTCTTTCCAATTAATTTATTTATGTCTGAAAATTAGTATGTGTTCGTAAATTTTTGATTGATTGATTCATGTTCCCCGAGTTAAGACATTTATACGTGAACAATGTAGTTGTGATATAATACAAATATTTCACATTAAATATATTGAGGTGTTGTCAATGCATTCACAGTTTATGGTTTCAATTTTTGGGTCTTGGTAATTATGTGTGCGGAAAATTTACTGTACAATGCAGAATAATTCATAAAGAAGGATGTAATTAATATTCAGATACAGCAACACGCCTTGAAAAAAACTTGTACTTACTTGGACGGGAGCGGGAACTGCCTGAGCAGAAGCCTTTGCGTTCTGCAACCGAAATGAAAAAAGCAGTATTAGAAATTATGCGGCAAATGAGAAAAAATGCACAGGGCGCAAAAGCCTATTGCGCGCACAAATTTAATGTGTGATGTTAATTAGAGTCAACTTTGCTTCTACTGTGCTTTGCAAGGCTAAGTTGAAATATTGAATTTACACGTCAAGTAGAAATGTTTTTCTTATTTATTTTATGACGAACTACCCAGTGTTGATTTAAAACTAACGATTTCGCTGCCCGACGCTGTCTTCCAGATACTGTGACGACATTGCAATTAATGATAAGCTTCCCGTGGTAGAAGCTTTCATGTACGCAACAAACTTTCGAATACGCAACAAAATTTTGAATTCTTAACCAACATTGAAATACAAAACAAACTTTCTAAAACGCAACAAACTTTCAAGCACTCAACAAACTTTTGGAAACTCAAACAACTTTCAAGTAAACAACAAACTTTTAATTATGCAACAAACTTTCAAGTACGCAACAAACTTTCAGGTGCACAACAAACTTTCAAGTGTGCAACAAACTTTCTAATACGCAACAAACTTTAAAATACGCAACAAACTTTCAAGTGCGCAACAAGCTTTCAAATACGCAACAAACTTCACAGATACGAAACAAGCTTTCAAATACGCAACTAACTATTCATATACGCGACAAACTTTCAAGTACGCAACAAACTTTCAAATACGCAACAAACTTCCAAATACGCAACAAACTTTCAAATGCGCAACAAACTTTCATGTACGCAACAAACTTTCAAATACGCAACAAACTTTCAAGAACGCAACAAACTTTCAAATACGCAACAAACTTTTCATATACGCGACAAACTTTAAAGTACGCAACAAACTTTCAAATAGGCAACAAACTTCCAAATACGCAACAAACTTTCAAATGCGCAACAAACTTTCAAGTACGCAACAAACTTTCAAATACGCAACAAACTTTCAAGAAACGCAACAAACTTTCAAATACTCAACAAACTTTCAGGAACGCAACAAACTTTCAAATACGCAACAAACTTTCAAAAACACAACAAGACAAAAAACGAATGAGCAGTTAACTGTGGCCCTTTTGGCTTTGCAACCGAATTCTCGTGAATTAAGATTAAACCTGTTTTCTTTCCATTATTGACAAATTTATAGAACTCGAACTCGTTCATATAAATAAATGGTCAAACCGCAATGTATTTATCGTATCTGATGTTATAATAATTTGCACTTCTTCTTTTGCCTTCTCGACACTCAGAAATTGAATAGGTCTTATGTGCAAACAGTGATGCACTTTCTGTACCTATACTTTCTTTTGGCGGCCCTAACTGTGTCAGGATGATTACCAATACAGTAGGAATAAGTGCATCGCTATTTAGACAGGGAGCCATTAATTTCTCTGAGTGCATGCATGATCCAATGAAGCATATTTTCAGTTTCATGTGGTCTGGCGAGGCAGCTTTTTTGTCGTCTGCAGTTCTCTGCCGTAATTTCGGGTGGCGAGTTTTCTCAATGTGCCAAAAAACTACTAGAAATTGAGATGTCTGAGCTCCAACGACAACTAAGAGCTCATTTCGCTTTCTTCGAGGAAAAAATCATCATTTCATTGTTTATTATTTCTCTTTGTTCGGTTTAAAAGATATTACTTCACAATTTAACAAGCCACTTTCTTCGATTTAAAATACATCATTTCACTATTAATTAAGTGTTTTTCATCATTTTAACAGACATAATTTCACTTTTCATTAGTGGCATTCTCTGGATTATCGGAAATAACATTTCATTCTTTATTATGTTTCTTTCTTCTATGACAAATACATCATTTCACTATTTATTGAGTGTATTTCTCAGATTAAAAAGCTGTTACTTCACTATTTATTGAGTGCCTGATTGCGACGGTATTCGTGAGAATGTTTATATTGAGCACGCAAGCGTAGAACTAACTCGTATTAAATTTCGAATAAACTCAATATACCTTTGGCGCAAACTTCAATTACGGAAGAAAATATTTAACATATCTTAACACAAACTCCAATATATTTTTTTTGAAGTGTTAAATTTAACTGTAAAATGTTTTTCATAAATTCACGTCATAACTTTACCTTTACACTCCTTCACATTAACACATTCCAAAGCATGGGAGGCAACCATTTTTGACCTTAATATGTTTTTATATTCCCATATGTGGACTAAATTTTTTTAAACAAATGTATAATTTCTTAATAAAATTAAAAACAAAAAGCTTCAAAATAGTTTGAAAGATTAAAAAATTTACGAGCTAAATATAAGATTATGTGTAGTTTATTTTGAATTGATTATTAATTTTTCTAACGTTTTTATGATCCACTTTTACTTATTAAATCAACGATAGATCGATTTATTTCTGTACATTTCCTATTTACTCAGAATATCATTTGATAAATCTGTTTCACAATTGCACAATTGCTGGAATTTATAAATAAGGAGTCATTTATATATATAAATATAAACGAGCAAAATATTTCGTCACTTTGGAATTAAAGTTAACGCGATTTTAATATCAGCAGCGATTTTTCCTTGATGTTTTTGTCAACCTAGTTGGTCACATTCGCATAACTTTCATCCCCAGATTATGTTTTTTATTTATGGAGTTCGTGCTAAACGTGGGTCGTGTTTTTGGTCATTTTTTTGAGTGACTTGACGGACGCGAGAGTGGCATTAGTGAACGTCAGAAGCGGGCTCTGGTTTTTGTTTGGTTGGTCGTCAATGAATTTTGGGACCTCCATAATTCTGAACACTTTCATTCGTGTCTATAGAACCAGCCTCTGGAAAGTAGAAGCACATTTGCTATAAATTTCTATCCCGATGGCTATCTAACTTTTTGTAATAAAACTTCAATCACGTGCTTAATAAACTCTAATTATTGTGACTTGAAGTTTGTAATGTAATCATAAAGCTCACAATCGCTTCAGGGGAGAAACAGCTGAAACATTATTTCAGTACTTCCTGTAAAAACAATCCGAGGACAGACACAACAAAGTTAAATTGATAGGAAAACATTTACAAATTTTTTCTCAAATAAGAGGTTGAATCACGAAGAAGAAAAGAAAGATTAAATCAAACCAGAGTCTATATTTATGTAAATATTCAGTATAACTCACCAGAAACATGTCGGCAGTGAGAAGGCCTCTGGGTGCCACATTGTCACCGCTGGCATTATGGCATAGCAGTGACAGAGCGACCACCGCGGCCAACACCACCTAAATGAACAGAAAATTAATTTTAGTTTATATAGAGAAATTGTAGTTAAAATCCATTGATGTTAACGAGCAATGAATTTGAGTATGAGAATGTTCATTGCATTAATAACTTTAAATTAACTTAATAGTGATAAAAACAATGGGATAACCGCTTTGCATGAAGTCATTAGATTATATTTGTGTACAAAGTCAGAATTTTTTTTACGGCATTCTGGAAAATAAAGATAAATCATCAATAGTTATTAGGTGTTAAATTTAAGCCCATGCAGCGGGCTGGACGCTTTCAAACAAAATCATCAATTATTACAGTTCATTATAATTATTATCACATAACATAATGCATTATGGCCAGCCAGCTGCTGATGCTTCTCAATATTTTTTGGAGGAAAATAATATCCATTTAAAAATGAGCCTATTAGTATGTAATAAATCTAACTCCTAAAGAAATCTTAAAGTAGTAAAATGCAAGTGAAAGCGCCCATGCACTTTCTTCAGAGATTCGTCAAAGGTCGAGCAAAGTCGTTCACAACGTTTACCAGCTTACAATTAATAAAAACTCGAATTTATTCTAGAATCTCGTAACTATAAAGAATGATTTTACAGGAACTACGTAAAGCCTTCAAAAGGCATTTTGTTCGACGCACGGTTATTGATATAAAAATATGAAAACGACTAATTTTTTTAAAGTTACATGTTTTCTTAAGAAAATTATCGTGGAATCTAGAACGTAGAAAATATAAAAAAATTTCCGTTGCATTCATAAACTATAACAAAATTTTGGTGCATTCGAAAACTGTTAAGTCAGTTTCTTATGAATTTATGATATATTTTCCTCAGAATAAATATACCAATCTGGACCAAACAAAGCGTACATTATTTTACCAAGGAAAGTTTACATATAAAGTCGAAGAAGGGCTTTCAGTTGATAATAGAAGTAATCACACGCAACTGAGCGATGATTAAGCTGATCTCAAGCTGTCGCACCCTTCCCATCAGGCAGTTTACGTTGAACTAACGTTGATTAAACGTTGTTTGACCGTAATCGATCCGTAATAAACGTTGTTTTAGCGTTATTTTCCGGTTACTTTACTCCGGCATGCATGGGAGCGGTCGAAAGCACGTGGCTTGAGGGGAGTCACTTTCTCTGAAATTTCCCTCTAATTCTTCCCCTCACCCCAACCCCCGCCCTCCCTTCTGTTATTAACAGGGGGGGGGGATTGTAAGCAAAAATTAGTAATTTATTCGTACCGATGCTTTTTTTAAATGTAGTCGGTGACTTCTTTTAAAAATGTAGTCGACTACATTTTTAAATGTAGTCGTAGCTTTCAATGACATGAGAAGGGCAAATGATCTCAAAGCAATCAAAACTTCATAAGGAAAACCTTACATTCCCTAATAAAATAAAAATAACATATTCGGGACCGCTTAGCAGAAGTCGGACCAGGTTTTACCAATGAAGAGTAGTTAAATTTTTTGTACTGTCAGTGAATCTGTGACTTTTCAACTGAAATGAAGGAGCGAACAGACTTTTTATCGATTTCTTGTATCTGTTCTCATTGATAATTTTTTTATGTTTTACTTTTGAATAATTAAATAGTGTTGTATTAAATTTTATTCATCACCTTCCCTTCTCGCCCACACTTGCTGCAAAATGATTCAATAAACAAAAACTTATAGTATTTTCCTGCAGCGTTAGCATCCACCATGCACACCAAGCTTGATGAGTGCAGGGTAAATAATTAATTAATTTCTAGCAATAATTAATGAATTTATACATAGAAATGCTTTTATACCAATTTGGCCCAAACTTCTTGCATCATCGAAGTATTGAAAAATATAGCAACAACGTCGCTTTGACAAATGAATTCAAGAGAGAGTTGTATTGTATAATATCTTTGTCGCAGCCATGTTCCCAGCTTATAGAGAGTGCAGCTTGGACTGTAAAAACTCCTAATTTGGAGCTGGAAACAGGATTTGAGTGGCATGTCTAACCTGTTTTTTCCCTTATTGAACGAAAGTTTGCCCTGGTGCATCGGCATTGCTTGATAAAAACCCGGATTTTGAGATACCCCAAACCTAGTTTTTTACCCCAAATCTGCTTTTTTTTACCCCAAGCCTGCTCCTAAGGTTCTCATCTGCGCGACATGAACTTAACATGAGTGAAAAGCTGCCGCGTCATGCGGGCGCTTTTACTTTCGGGCAATGAATCTAGAGCAAAAAATAATTTGAGAAAACGAGCCGTATTTTTCATAGTCATAAATCGTTGTGTAACATTTGGAGAAGAAAATATGACTATAATTTCTCCTATTTCATACGACGGGAAACTTTCACCATTCAAATACGAATATAATTCACGATTTTACTCAATACATTTCCCAGTCAAATACAGGTTTTCAGAATCAAACATTTGAGCGGGATTCAACATCATTTCAGAATCAAGATGTTCAGCGGGCCTCAATTAACTTTACTATAAAAAATATAAATATTAATATTAATATAAAAAAATATAAATATTTTAACGTTAGTTTATATTTATATGTGATGTAATTTAATATTTAAAAAAGTTAATTTCTATTTTCTTGTGAACGAATGTATTGGCGTAACTCATATATAACTCGCAAAATAAATTCCTATAGCCATTATTGCACCTGATGCAAAAGAATCGAAACTTATATCAACTGTACCCAATTGATGGAAATAAAAATTGTTAAAAATTTATAAAAGCGGTGGCAGATGATGGATGATAGAGAGATAATAATTTGAGAACACTTCCGTTAATCCGAAAACTGGGGATATCTCATTGAATTGTATCAGGAGGATAAAAGCATGTAAATATTTTATAACTCCCAACGCAGCGTCACAAACCCTCCCATATAACTCCTATAACTCCCAACGCAGCGCAACCAATCCTCCCATAAAACTCCAATAACTCCCAACGCAGCGCAACCAATCCTCCCATAAAACTCCTATAACTCCCAACGCAGAGCAACCAACCCTCCCATATAACTCATATAACTCCAACGCTATCATGCAACTCTTATAACTACGAGTCTGACTACGTACGTTGCGCTTCACGAGCGCTGCGTGCATGTAATGAGGCGGTGAATGCGTGTGATCGGTGATGTGAATGTGACGCGTGCGATCACATTACACTCACAACAATTAAGGTAACCGTAGAGTAGAACTTATAACCGAGCAGTAACACCCCAGTCACATTTATGATATGCTTGTACATACTTAACTTCACTCAGAAAAATGAATAGGATACGTTGTTCAAATAGTGACAAACTTTCTTACCCACAGCACGAGTAGAAAGAGAGCGTTACTCTGATATGCTTTTTTTTGCCTGACCAAAGTGGGTCAGGATGACCCACACAAGGGCAAAATATGAGCATCACTATTTAAAAAAATAGCTCTTAATTGTTCAGGATCCTGCTATTAACATTGGCGCTGCAAATCACGTGGCAGAAAATCTACAGAAGTATTATAAGTATATAATAAAATTTGGTCAATAACGCCGAAAAATTTGATGCATAGGCGTTCAAGTTCCTTTACATAACCTACCAATATCGCAATGACCAACATTTTTTTCAACCCGGGAGACAAAAAACTGCCCATTACCGGGTTTGTTCAGCATGCACTTTCATCATTATCCTGGCTGTGAAAAATTGGACAATTCTTCCGATTATTTTTATGTCTTCTACTCCAAATAAATTTTAGATGAGACAAGCTATTGCTCTCATTTAGTATATATTTATTATTTAGCATTAATGTGCGCAAATTTACCCAAACTCAACACTAACGTTTCATATTCTTTCTCAAAACGTAATTACTTCAAAGCATTAGAATTGCAGGGAGGGCTTAAAGATGATCATGGATCAATAACGAAAACTCCAGAAGCCAAACAAACTTCACGGAAACGAATAAAATTTATCAACAGGAAACGTAATTATAGCATAAACGACTTGACCTGAATTGATTTCAGGCAAAAAATAAAATTTAAAAATGCATCCCCCAACTACTATTCCTATAACATGCGTGTCACCATATATATGTAGTATATATATAATAACTAATATTCCATACGCATTATCTTATCGAATAGCTTTCATTCAGCGCAGCTACAGATAGTGGCATGCATTCTCAGTATGTGGTGATATCCAACGTGACTGTAACTGGAAGAGCTTCTAGAAAACACTGTAAATAAGAAAAACACAACAAAAATGAGAGTACGGTGCCCTGAATGCGCGTTTAGAAGGCACATTGAGCTTGCGGTTACTCTGATTTTTTTCGGCGGCAGCAGAAAAAATGCAGCTTCAGTAGCTCGTGGAAGCGAGGTTGCTTTCCCTTCGAACATTTTTTCGTTTCTATTTGATTTAAAATTGATTTGTCTTTCAACTTTCTTTTTGTTCGTGTGATGAATGGAACTTATCTGAAATGTTTAATGAATCTCCTGCCGAATTTATTTGCAATAAAACAAAACACTCATCAAATGAATCTTGATTTCATTTAGAGTACCATGGACAAGAAACGTAACAAACCTCACGCCTTTTAGCACTCCTTTTTTATAAAATAGTTTTTGCGTGGAACCAGCATATCAATACTCAACTCGGAAGGCTAACCGGCGCAAATCAAGCTGCCAAATAAACAGTATTTTCGTTAAGTAAACCACGTTAATTTTCCATTAAGTAAACAATGACATTAGGAAAGAAACATGAATTAAACAACATTCTATTGACGGATGAAGTAGAGACCATCGATAAAACCACTCACTAGGACTTTAGGACAAGGGGGCTAAGTCACTCAATAATTTTGATAAAATTTTAGTTAATAAAGACTAGTTGTCTTATTATTTAATTAAACATGTACTCCAGGCCATATAATTTTTTCTAAAGAAATAATAATAATTTTACCTTAACATAAAATTATTATATAAATAAATACTTAAATAGGGCTAGTGACGCCACAACAGTTTATGCCAGTACATGTACATGGTATTCTACATCTCACTGACGCTCGTAAGCAAAATGTTACGCAGGAGCGGTATTCATGATTATAGGAAGCTTGATACGATAAAGTAACTCTTACGACAGCGTTAGAGATATGTACATGAAAGTTGAACGTACTGTATGATCATTGTCGCTATATTCATCACTTGAGGTCACATGAATGAAGACCGATATTGAATTTGCAGACGTTTTTTTTTGGAATTTACATTGAAAAAAACTTCTTATGCCTTTATTTTGCCCTAATTATCTGCTAAAACAACACGTAATTTAGAAAGTAGGATGCAGAAAAAGAAGATTAGGTGATATAAGCGAACTTAAAATTAATGTAATTTAAACTCACCGTGTAGGCACTGCTCATGGCTGCTGCAACGTCAGGTTAAGGCACAGGCTTTCGTGTTGCTTAAACTGTTCTCTGGGATATAAGAAAGATATCCGCTAAAAGAAAGAGATAATGGAAAGATATCCGCTTAAAGAAAGAGATAAAGGAAAGATATCCGCTTAAAGAAAGAGATAAAGGAAAGATATCCGCTTAAAGAAAGAGATAAAGGAGAGATATCCGCTTAAAGAAAGAGATAAAGGAAAGATATCCGCTTAAAGAAATAGTTACAAGACAGCTATCCGCTCATTAGGGACATTCTTCTGTTACTCGCACACCGCACATCGCCAAGTCGCAGCTACACTCAGAAAAATAAATGAGATGAATGGGCCATGTGGTGAGAGGCGCAGGTTGGTGATGTGAGGCGTGATGTTCTTAATGAGAAAGTTGATGAGGAAACAGTGCAGGAAGTACAATGTATTTAGATGAACTTCGATATGTGTATAGCAAGGACAATTATATGTTCTCCGTGGAATTACTTGAAGTGGAAAGCAGACTATAAAATTTATGTACTTTTTTGTGTAGACGAGAGAAGTTTTATGTTCTTGATCAATTTTGTACTCGGCGGTACTTTGAAAGATTTGTGCTTACGTTGATTCAGTATAAGTGCTTCAACTCCCTAATATTAGCTTAATTCTGAATAACGAAATAAAAATATTCGCCGAACAGCAAAAAAGTTCAGCCGTTCATATCTGATTGTGATAAAATTACGTTGAATTCGTATAGTTTCGATTAAACTATCAGTTACTCTTTCAAGTATGATCACATCTTTTCGTTTGAATCGTTTTGTTCCGAAGATGAACGATAGAAGCAATGAATTTTTTAAATACCATCGAGCTTATTTGTTTGGTGATTCGTTTTGTTGGTAAAATCACACAAAATTGCTGTGTATTACGTATACATTGCTCGAAATACTTAGATATTCTGATTGTCCGAACCTTTGTTTAGGAATTTCTATTCAAGTGGACCCCTCAAAATACTACTTAACGGCCATTGATAAAATATATTACGAACAAACACAATAAAAGGACTTTTAAAACTAATAGTAAGACTCAACACTCAGAGAAACGAGTTTGTCCAAATAGCGATGCAAGTTTTGTCTGAGTCATCCCGACCCAGTTTGGCCCTGAAAAAGCGTATTGGTGCTAATGTACAAAAGTGTATCACAATTTGAACAATGTAACCCATTCATTTTATGTAAATGAATTCAGCGAATGGGCACACCTACTGCCGAGGGCTGACCTAGCCTGGTAACGAAGGCCCGCGTGCCATATTTATGCTATAGAAATGAAATATAAAAACTGACAAAAAGCCTCAAAAATTCATCATTTATTTATAGAAAAAGTTTCATTGCTCAAATCCATCATCATTTCGAATATTCAGTAAAACATGCTAAAGATAACAGTGAAAATTGAGTGTTGGTTAGGAAATTGAGTGAAATTTTCACTCTTCTCTTAACACGTTCAACTGAATTTTTGAACTGGACGGTTGAGCTGGACTCTGAAATGTTTTTGTACAAAGATATGGGGAATTTTTGTGACTTATTCTTTGTTTAAAAATTTCTGGTTTATATGCGATTCAACAAATTGAGTTACATTAATATTATATGTATTTTAGTGTTACCGCCACTGCGCTAGTTTCTACACCTAACATTCTGGCTCATCTCCGCCTCGGGCCATTTCGCGCCGGGTTGCCAGGTGGGCATTTTTTCGGCCAAATTTGCCGCATTTGGATTCCCTTCAATTTAGTTGATCGGCCAAAATATAAGATGAACTCAAACCTACTGTAAATATAAATATATAGCCCCCCCCAAAACGTAAAAATTTAATTCTTGCATAAAAAATTACAAATTGACTAAAAAACATTGAATTGTGAAAAGTTTTTGGCCTTCTTTATGAGATTATTTGGCCGAGGCCAGTAAGCTTGAGAAATTGTAGAGGCCAAACGACTCGTCAGGCAGCGGTAACAGCGGAAGAAAGTTCTCACTAATGGAGTAGAGAGCGTGTTTTTTCATTGATATTTAACGCTTCCAACATGAATTATAAGTCTAATTCATGAAGAAAGTAAAAATTTTGATTGAATTAATTGAATTTGTATTGCTGGTGTAACGGGTGAATGCGACAGAGAATTTTGTACGATTATAAGTTTCATTTGACGCTTCAGGACATAATCACGAGGTCGTTATTGATATCTTTGCATTTACTATAAAACTAAGGTTCAAAAATTTGTTGTTATTTTACTTCAGCATTTAATTGACTTTTATAAATTAAATTTCTGTTTGAATTTCCTTTGAGCCTTTATTCTTCACAATAACTAATATAAAAAGTGTACACGGGATAGTGTCTATTGACAATTATCTTCCTCACGCCATTTGTGTGACCTACAAAAGGCAATAAAGCTGCCTCGAACAGGAACAAACAATCGGAATAAACCTAATTTTGAACTTTAAAATTATTGCATCATATAAAGTAGGATAGAAATTTGGTTATGGTGTTGAAATGAAAATGCATCCATACATTTTTCTCCATAGTGTTGATTAAAGTAGAAAAGGTATGATAAAATGTCATGAGTGATGAATTTGTTATAATTAAGATGCGGAAGCTGCTCGGACGACAAGTGCAGCGAAAGCGACCAGATTTCTCTGATCGAATTTCTACGCCAGCGAGCCAGCCGACGTGACACACGCCCTACCACGGTCACAGCGAAACTGAACGCAGGACGCGAGTGCCGCGCTATTTATACGCGGAGCTGATGGTGTGGTTAGGAGACTTTTTCGTTGATATTCATGCTTACATAATCTGATCTTTGGAAGAGAAAGAGAGAATGCAATCAAACTTGGGTCATTTAGACTCGCGATTAAGCAAAACTAAGCAAAGCCTCATAGCCAGAAAAAAACTCTAGAATGGCCCACTTATAAAAAGCGATCATTAGTCAATATTGAGCAATTGCATCAGTGACGTAAGCGTTGAATAGGTCAAATCTGGCCTGCCGTTGATTTTAGACATCGTAAAATTCTGACAGTTAGCTGGGTTTTCAAACCCGTAACTCACTGCTCCAATTTTAATACTCTTAACTGTTACCTCTGGTCCACCCTGATGAGCGTGAGGAATTTAAAATAAAATAATTTAAAATGAAAGGAATTTAAAATGCCTACTCATACAACTCATTAGAAATCGTAAATTTCAAAAATTAAAATGATTAATTCGTTCTTAACAATTCACCGTTTTTATTGCTTTTAAATCTATTTTGTTTGGTTACTTTGAAAATTTCATGTTTATCTTGTCCAAATATTCATATATGCTCATAAATTCATTTTTGTTCGAAAAAACCTCTAGAAGGGCCCAGCCTCTTTATTTTTATTCAAAAGCTTCAAGTTTGTTCAAAGATTTTTCCATTGTCTTCGCATTAGTTTACTTTGAGTACATTTTATAAGTCTGAGTCGAAAGTAAAATTTGATGTAGGTCTCATTTTTTGAGCAATGTCAGCAAAAAAACGGACACGTGCGGTAGCGACAACACTCAGAAAAATAAATGGTCCATATTGCACAAATGATGACACACTTTCTACATGAATATGCCCTTTTGCCAGCTGAAACGGGTCGAGACGACCTTCAAAAGAACATAGGTGCATGACAACTTGGACAATGAAACATTCATTTATCTAAATGAACGAGAAGATAACTTTTTTTTTTAATTGGAATTTATGGGAGCCTCTGAAGACTGGTTCAATGCGGCCCCACGTCAGAACAGTTGAAGGAACTTGATCGAATTAGGTTTTAATGTACAAAATTGGGTGTCTTAAAAAAACTCAAGTTTTCTCAATGGCTGAAGGGCTGCAGAACGGGGCCACCAAAGTAGAGACCACACCGGGGCGGAGAGCCCCACTCCAGGGCAGACAGCCCCACTCCAGGGCAGACAGCCCCACTCCAGGGCAGATAGCCCCACTCCAGGGCAGACAAGACACTAACCACTACCTGGGGACACTAACCACTCACCTGGGGACCCTAACCACGAACCCTGGGGTACTAACCACACATGGAGGCATCTTAAAATCTTTGTAACGAAATTTGGCAGTTAGACGCCGGGAGCATTTATAGGTGTTCAGAACTTCAGGAGTTAAACTTTACTTTAGCTCGTACCATGGCATCCGCCGGCTCAACGCCTCGGAGCGGGACAGTACGGCATTTTCAAAGTTCGAGAAAGATAGTTCAAGAAAGATTACGTAGCAGCCGGCCGAAGCCGGCTACTGTCACGGGAGCTCAGCACAATTGGAACCTCTTGCCTCAACGGTTAGAACAGAACTCGAAGATAACCTTGTTCCAACTCTCATTCAAAATACAGAGTTTTTCAAGTAGAAATTTCATTAAATTTAACTGTGTAATAAATCCGAAAGCTATGAAAAAGTTATTAGGTGAAATTATTATTTCACTTAATAACTTTATTTTTAATTATTATTTATTATTATCTATGATGCAACTTTTCGCGTTGAATTTTTTTTTATGTTGAATATATATAAAGTTGGTTTATGATGGGACCGATTTTCCAACATCGGGTTTTTGCTGATCCTCAAATTGATCTTTTAAGAAAATATGTTGATTTTACTGTTTTTTTTTCTAAAAATTTTCGATTGGAATATCAAACTTTCATCGCGGATTTCGAAATTTAATAAGTTTTAATGAGGATTCTAATTATATATTTAAGAGATCTTAGATGATCCAAACTTCAATTGGTCTTTCGAATTTGAGCTTAGATTGAACTGTCTTCTAATGCACCCTTCACTGATTTCTATAGCACCCTTCACTGCCTTCCAGTGCAGAATTAACTAGCGTCTAGTGCACCCTTCACTGCCTTCCAGTGCAGAATTAACCAGCGTCTAGTGCACCCTTCACTGCCTTCCAGTGCAGAATTAACTAGGGTCTAGTGCACCCTTCATTGGCTACTAGGACTAATTTACAGTCTGTATTTTTTGAAATATAATCTGCATTACCTGCGTTCATTTTGGAAACCTATGGCTTTCAGCGTACATGTACAGCAATCCATGCCTAATTTTGGTAGTTTTTTACAGTACATACAGTTTACAGTACATAGTTAATTTTTGAATAGGCGAGACCAAGGGTTGCGATGACCGGAAGCTTTCGTAACTGCTGCAGTAATTCAGTCAGTCACATCTTTTAATATTGAAGGCGTAAAAGTTGCACAAACATTCATAA